CTCCTCTTCCCCCTCCTCTCCTTCCTCTTCCTCCTTCTCATCATTATCCTCCTCCGCCTTTTCCTCCTCCACTTCCCCAGAGAGGCTTGATATTTTTGTTGGAGAGGTATCCTGTCGGTGGGCCCCGCACGGGTTGATGCCCTCGTGCGGGAACAAAAAGTTCTCCTCGAACGGATACCCTTACCCCGTTTTTCTTATCTCCCCTCTGACTTTTCTTCCTTCTACGGGCAGTGAATGCGACGTTGCGAAAAAAACGCAACATCGCGAAACATCTCAGCCAACTAGACCACACCTTTCTGCGCCATGTATCAAGCCGGATCGATATGTGATGGTGCCGGGGGCTGAAATCAGACGATTTCGCGCCCAGATCTCAGGGTCCTCTCCTCATTGCTCCGAGGAAGGGGTGGATGGGTGGGTAACCCGAATTGTAGAGAAGATCCACTGGTAGGTGAACGTTGGTCCCAGGGATGGATGTTCGCTGCTGGGCCGTCGATACGATGGCATCCATGGCGACAGCATCGAGGTACCGAGCGCGTGGACATACCGAGGATGAGACAGCCACAAAAATGACCCAGCCACTCTTCGAGGTCCAGTGCGGTGGCGATCTCCTCCTGCTCCTCCTCGTCCCTAGAGTGCAACTCTTGGGAGGCTAAATTGTTGACGCTTCGCGAATCCCCGCCAGCCCATCCAGAAACGATGCCCAGAGGAATTGCCTCGATCAGGGAAGTGGGCAGCACTCAGAGGAAGCCAGTCTGAGACATCTTGGGATATCTTGAGCCATCTTGGAGGTCATTTTGGGCTCTCCCAGGTGCTTTTGGAGTCATCTTAATCAGTGCCCCCCCAAGAGGCCAACATGTGGCTAAAACCTTAGTAAAATCAATGATTCTCCAGGCTCACGCCACATCCGCCGACCCCTTGATTCGTACCGGCGGCTATCGCCGCGTTTCCGCCTTCACTGCTCGTAGTTGCCAGGCGTTACAGTGCAGTGGCAAGTGCCAGAAGAAAAGATTGAGAGGCATGGCAAAGCGCATGGAAAAAAGAACGGAAGAGGAGTAGTCGGAGGTGGAGGAGGAGCAGAGGGAGGAGGAGGAGGATGAGGAGGATGAGATTGAAGAGGATGAGGAGGTCGAGGATCAGGTTGAGGAGGATGAGGAGGGTGAGGTTGAGTAGGATTGCGAGGGGAAGGGCAGTCTTGGGGCCATCTTGGGCGTGTTCGAACGCTGGTTTGGCTACTCGGGGCCTTCTTGACCGTCTCGGGGGCCCCTTGGTGCGCTCTTGGTTCGTTTTCGGGCCCTTTGCTCCCCCCGGCGGCGTTCGAGCCGGGGTCAACCGGAGCGCGGATGACCCCGGCTCGAACGCCTCTGGGCTACTTTGGGGCTGTATTGGAGGCCTCCAGGGCCGTCTGGGAGCGTCGGAAAGCCCAAAAGGCAAATTTGTGAAAAATGTACGTTTCACGAAGGGAACGGGCCAATTTTTGCGCCGAGGGGCCCTCCTGGGGGTCTCTTGGGCAGTCTTGGGATCATCTTGGGCGTGTTCGAACGCTGGTTTGGCTACTCGGGGCCTTCTTGACCGTCTCGGGGGCCCCTTGGTGCGCTCTTGGTTCGTTTTCGGGCCCTTTGCTCCCCCCGGCGGCGTTCGAGCTGGGATCCACCGGAGCCCGGATGACCCCGGCTCGAACGCCTCTGGGCTACTTTGGGGCTGTATTGGAGGCCTCCAGGGCCGTCTGGGAGCGTCGGAAAGCCCAAAAGGCAAATTTGTGAAAAATGTACGTTTCACGAAGGGAACGGGCCAATTTTTGCGCCGAGGGGCCCTCCTGGGACGCATCTTGGAGGCCTCTTGGGGCCTCTTGGGGCCGTCTTGGGCCGTCTGGAGGCGATCGTCGGTGTCTTTGATCGTTCTTCGACCGTCTGTGACCATATTGAGCTCTCTTGGAGGCTACTTGAAGCGCTCCTGGAGCGCTCTTGGGGCCGTCTTCGGGGCCCTCTTGGGCAATCTTGGGCGCCTCTTGGGCTGTCTTGGGGCTCTCTTGGGCTGCCTTGGAGCTTCCCTGGAGGCTGCTTGGACCGTCTTGGGGCGGTATTTAGGGCCTCTTGGGCCGTCTGGGAGCGTCGGAAAGCCCAAAAAGCGAATTCGTGAAAAATGTACGTTTTACGAAGGGAATGGGCCAATTTTTGCGTCTAGGGACCCTCGTGGGACGCATCTTGGAGGCCTCTTGGGGCCTCTTGGGGACCTCTTGGGCCGTCTTGGAGGCCTCTTAGCCCGTCTTTGAGCCATCTTGGGCGTCTTGGAGCGCTCGTTTGGCGTCTCGGGGCTCCCGTGGGCCGTCTTGAAGGCCTCTTGGGGCCATCTTGGCCCGTCTTGAGGCTTCCTGGGGCCCGGAAAAGCCCCGGCGGCGCTCGTCCCGGGCCCCGGCGGCGCTCGTCCCGGGCCCGGGGGGGGGGGTCAAATCGCCGGTTTGGGGTCCCGGGGGGGGGACTATAGGGGGGGGAACTATCTCACACGCCTAGAGACCCACAAGGAGTCGGCGGATTTGGCATTCTCGCCGAGGCCTCTTGGAGCATCTTGGGTGCCTCTGGGGGGTCTCTTGGGGCCTCTTGGGGGTCTCTTGGGGGCCTCCTGGGGGCCTCTTGGGGGCCTCTTCGCCGAGGCCGTTTTGGACGCCCCGACGACTCGCGAAACCCCATGTCCAGGTCCATGGTGAGGGGGTAGGGGGAGGGGTCAAGACTCCCTCCCCGCCCGCAAGCCGTCTCGCTCACTCCCACCCGCCCTCCCAACACATACGTAGCACCCACCCGAGCTTGGCCCGAATCGTCTTTGGATGGGCAGCTAGAGGGAGCGAATCCGCCGCCGCCGCCGCCGCGCCGGCCGCCGCCGCCGCCGCCGCCGTCGCCCCGCTGCCAAATCGCCGCCGTCGCAGCCGCTGCCGCCGCAGCCGCTGCCGCCACCGCTGCCGCCGCCGCCGCCGCCGCCCCCCCCGCCCCCGCCACCGCCGCCGCCGCCGCCGCCGCAGCCGCTGCCCCCGCCGCAGCCGCCGCAGACGCCGCCGCCGCCAAGTGTACTCTGTATCGTTTTTGACAGGGATGGTGGGGGGAGGCCGCATCGGGTTCGCTGCGCATGCTCCGAATTTTGAAGCAGAGTGTATGTTGTACCGTTTTTGCAAGGGATGGTGGGGGGGCCCTCATGGACCTGGGGTGGCTCGCAGTCGCCTGGGGGAGGGGGTGTATATTAATAGGGAACAGTGATAAAGCCCTTCCCGAAGGGGAAGAAGGAGGGGTGGAAGAGGAAACTCCCTAAACCACCGACGCCCAGAGGGCTGGTGGGATTGGATGGATGGACGAGGGAGTAGGGAGAAGCAGGATGAATAGAAGGAGGAGGAGGAGGAGGAGGAGGAGGAGGAGGAGGAGGAGGCGGAGGCGGAGGGGGAGGAGGAGGAGGAGAAGGGATAGGAGGAGGAAGGAGAAGGAGGAGAGCAAGCAAAATGGCCAGAGGTCTCTTGGATGCTTCTCGGAGCCTCTTGGGGTATCTCTTGGGCGTCTTGGGACGCCTTGGGGGTCTCTTGGCGGTCATGGGGGGCTCTTCGGCGTCTTGGATGCCTCGGGGGGCTCTTGGGGCCGTTTGGGATCCTTTTGGGGGCCTCCTGGGGGCCTCTTGGGGGCCTCTTGGGGCCATCTTGGGGCCATGTTGGGACCTATTGGGGCCTCCTGGGCGCTTCTTGGGGCCATCTTGGAGGAGATCGATCAAACAAGAGGGGAGCATTAATTAGCCCCCCCCCTCAGGAAGCCAAGATGGGGCCAAAGTCCTAGTACAACCAATGATTTTGGCTTCCTCGTCGAGGCCGTTTTGGACGTTCCGACGACTCGCGGGTACCCCCGTCCAGGTCCAGAGGAGGGGGTAGGGGGAGGGGTCAAGACGCCCTCCCCGCCCGCAAACCATCTCGCTCACTCCCACCCGCCCTCCAACACATACGTAGCACCCGAGCTTGGGCCGAGCCGCAGCACATGCAGCAGTCGTCTTTGGATGGGCAGCAGTGGGGGCGAATGCGCCGCCGCCGCCTCCGCCGCCGCCGCCGCCGCCGCCGCCCGCCGCCGCCGCCGCGCCGCCGCCGCCGCCGCCGCCGCCGCTGTCCGCCGCTGCCGCCGCCGCCGCGCTGCCCGCCGCCGCCGCCGCCGCCCCGCTGCCAAATCGCCGCCGCCGCAGCCGCTGCCGCCGCAGTCGCTGCCGCCGTCGCAGCCGCCGCCGCCGCCGCCGCCACCGCCGCCCCTTTCGCCCCCGCCGCCCCCGCCGCCGCCACCGCTGCAGCCGCCGCAGCCGTTGCCCCCGCCGCCGCCGCCGCCAAGTGTACTTTGTATCGTTTTTGAGAGGGATGGTGGGGCAGGCCGCATCGGGTTCGGCACGCATGCCCCGGATTTGGAGACAGAGTGTGCTGTGCATTGTTTTTTTACCAGGGGTGGTGGGGGCAGAGTGTATTTTGTATGGTTTTTTACAAGGGATGGTGGGGGGGGCGCTCATGGACCTGGGGTGGCTCCCAGTCGCCTGGGGGAGGGGGTGTATATTCATAGGGAACAGTGATAAACCCCTCCCCGAAGGGGAAGAAGGAGGGGTGGAAGAGGAAACTCCCTGAACCACCGACGCCCAGAGGGCTGGTGGGATTCAGCATCGGCGATGGGTTCCGCAGTCGATAACCGACATGGTCCGGCATAAACCCGCTGAGTCCAGCCTAGTCCCGCTTAATCCGGCTTCATCCGGTTGAATCCCGTTTGATCCAGCTCAATTTCCGGATTGAATTTGGCCTAATTTGGTCCCGGCCTTAATCACCGTTGGTCGCTCTTACGACCTCCCAGGAGGTGTTTCCTAATCCTTCTCCTCCTCCTCCTCCTCCTCCTCCTCCTCCTCCTCCTCCTCCTTCTCCTCCTCCTCCTCCTCCTCCTCCTCCTCCTCCTCCTCCTCCTCCTCCTCCTCCTCCTCCTCCTCCCCCTCTCCAGCCAGCTCGAAGCGCAGAG